CCATCTCAGAGATGATTCTATCTACTTATTCTCATGTGAGTTCACTGGACTTTTATTGCGTAAGCCCACAAGTCCATGATCCTAGGAACTGCCAAAGGGATAAATGGGCGGAGGCTCTGGAAACTTGTTGGGATCTCCCCATGACTCATCTTGACACTGGTACCTGTCTTCTGACTCCTCCAGCTCTGCCTTCCAGCCTACAAAGTGGGTGGAGCCCAGCCCACCCTCCGTTCCGCATGGCACATGGATGCAGGATCTCTCACCAATGATGTTGGTGTTACTTGAAGATGTCAAAACCATTAGTGAGAACCTCACCCCACAGAGCAGGAAGTGAGCCAATCAGAGCTCACAGCTGGCATGAGACACCCGGATTGGCTAACGGCAGAGCAGGATCACTTTAACCACAGGAAGAGGGAAATTAATCTGGTCTGTGCTCTCATTGTAACAAATACCCACCCATTCACTTCATTTATTTTGTTAATGTTTCCCAGGTCCTAAGACAAGATATGGCGATCAGCCATATTTACCAACTCCTGAGAATCTCAAACTAGTAAAAAATAACTCCATGGGCAGGTAAACTGTGGGAGCATACATGTTGTGGGTGGAACAGACTCTTACAATCACCTCTGAGAACAGGCAGAAGTGCCACAAGATGTCAGTTCTCATCATCTGTGTCCTGAAACGTGTCTGTCCTGTTGTGGCCATGTTCTGAAACTTGGGGCCTTCTAAGTCATTGTCAATGCTGGGAATAGTACTACCCCAGGCTACGCTGATGGAAGCCATGCTGTACCCTCCTAAACGAAGTTTTGCAAATGGAGCTCTTCATGGCAAAGCCTTTGGAGATTCCCACCCAATTGGCAAGGACCTGTGAAAATGATACTGGAAACCCCAGGGCTGTTCCCAGGGAACACGCGTGCTTCAGGCCCTCCTGGCTTTTGCTTTGTCAGTCATGACTATGACTGAGTTTTCTGGGAACAAGAGCACCTTGGATGAGTCTTGGTTAATATTTCTACAATTTCTACAGGGGAATTAAACTAAACACTCTTCACAGTTTATTGATAATGGCTCCTCCATTTTGTTCTTAGAACACAGAAACCAGTTTCCCCAAGCTGACCCTGGCTGACTTTACATTTCCCCCGAGTAAGCAGGAAGAAGTCACTAAGGTTACTGATTCTGCTTACTTAACTGTAAGAAGCAACTACATTCCAAGAATTTAGGAGATGGTTTCTTTCTTTTTTTTATAGAGAAAATAATCTTTATTTTAATATAATTATATCATTAGATTTATATGATGGTGTATTTATAGTATGGTATATGTTTGTGTCATTTAATTTTATTTATTTATTTATTTACTAAAGATTTCTGCCTCCTCCCCGCCACCGCCTCCCATTTTCCTCCTCCTCCTCCAATCAACTCCCTCTCCCTCATCAGCCCGAAGAGCAGTCAGGGATCCCTGTCCTGTGGGAAGTCCAATGACCTCCCTCCTAGGAGATGGTTTCTTAAGAAATGTTATTAAAAACCTGTGGGAACATATAAGAAAAAGATAAAGGGAATGAAAGGTCAGATATCTTTCTGGTGTCAGGGCATGAATGGTTAGACATTTTTCAGTTAAAATCCCAGTTCCTTGAAAGTAAAAGTATATGTAGAAACTTCTAGGAAGAACAGAAACTTGGATCCAACAGTAAAGAGTTAGGTATCAATCATTGCCATTCTGAGAATGTATTAAAAAAGAACAGGACCATATAGTTAAACTGTTGCTCACATAAAATCAATATGTAGACCACTTAGAAATTACTAAGACCTGCACTGGAAACTATTATTCTAGGTATGGTATCATACCCTCTACTGACTGCAAAAAAATATAAAAGCATCATACTGCTAACGACTGACTATAGGGCTTGAATATCTTTCCTTTGTGTAACTACATGTCTGCTGCAGCCTGGGCACAACACAAACAGAATGTGTCTGGTTAGATATAATCATTTGGCTTGCAATATAAAATTCAGCCTTAGATATGAGGTAAAGGTCAATTTATGCCTAGGTAAAGGTTAATTCATGCTTACATGTGGGGTAAAGGTTAATTAATGACAGTAAGGGAGGGGGAAGAGGAAAAGAATCTAAAAATGGGCAAATGGGTAAATGTGAAGATTCTTAGATGCGGATTAGAGAGAAGTGGATTGAAACCGTTAGTGCTTGATTGCTTTAGAACCTGCATTTATAAAGACGTCTGGAGCTAGTCAGGGCCACTCGCTTGAATGACAGCTGGTGGTCAGTGTCTGCATTCTCGCCAACTCCACACCTCCGTCCTACATTCTGGACCCCTGTTGGAGCTGGACTCTGGCACTACATACAATGGAGAGGGCTGCACAACTGAAACAGGTGGCCGCCAATCAGAGGCAGCATGCCGAGGAGAAAAAATAGACTGGGGTATTTCATGCCCGGTCTTAAATTGTGGCTCTCTTAGTTTTAGTTAAGTGATTTTTTTCACAGCTGTCTATTCATGTCCTCTTGTATTTGAGCCATTATTGCAAAGACCAAATGACAAGTTATTTCCGTGAAGAGTTTGACACCTCACCCCACTCCACCCCAAGATACCATTTCTTTCCTCTTTCCATAAAACATCAGGCATAGGAAACAACTGAGGACTATACAGTCCAGTATCCCCCTTTACTTTTCCTTCCCCCTGACAGACAGTGGGTTTCATGGGGATGATACATAGTATGGCAAGCCTACATGGAGACAGGAGAAGCTGAGAAGAGCCTGGACACTTTCCTCTTGTTTCCTCCACATTGTTCAGGAGAAGACTTTGTATAACCTGAGTGGGGTGTGGCAGGACCAGTGACCTAGAGGCACTTTGATTTTCTTTAGGAAAGAGTTCATGGATTCTGGATAATAGATCCTTGGGAACTGGGGATCTATCTGGAGCCAATTTGGAACCACCTTCCACCTGAGAGGTCACAGTGACCTTGGGAAGCCTTGACAGGTTGATCTGAGGAAGTGGCATTTGAAATCAATTCCGGGCACAGACTTGATTGCCTCCCCATAGCAGACATCACCCACTTCTCTCAGGGCTCAGTGAGAAGGTCTTGGGTTATGGGTCTAGATACTGATGGTGCTCTATTGTCCACTGATAATGGTGACTACGGTGAGACATCTGGACCTCTGGCTCTTATTTTCCTCTATAGCCTACCACACAGAGTTATGGCAAAGACTGTCTTTCTTTCTACATCTACTACACTGAGAAAGGGAAATGTGGCTGGAGTTCAAAGATAATTCAATCATGAAAGATACTATCTGGTAGTGATAAAGATCATGCCTGCGACAGCAGACCAGCTGCACTTGAATTCTGTCTTGCCCACTTACTCGTTTTGGATGCTTCGTAACCCCCTTTTATCAACTTCAGGCTCTATGGCATGCATCTGTCTTTTTGGCACATAGTAATAATCAACCAAATGATAGATGTTATCATTATCATCATTCATGTTCATGTGGCTGGAATTCCTCCAAGCCTAGGTTCCTGGAATCTATTCCTGGAAGAGAGACCCAGGAAAATAAGTTGAAGGAAGCCCATGGGAATGGAAGAAGCTGAGATGAGCCAATACAGACCTAAACCCTAAATTTTGAGATCTTACAGCACCCATCCAGTTCCCAAACTAACCTAGAACAACCTATGGTTCATGGAATAAATAAGTTCTTGGCGACCTTCCTATCATTCTGAATTAGAGCCTACCATGGCAAAGTCTTTCCCCAAGTAACATAGACCAGGATAAACCACCACCAAAGTCCCCAGAAGAAATGTAAATGTCAGGTTGGAAGGACATAGATTAGCTTTTGGCCCCATGTATAAAATATTGAGGGTCTCTATTGAATGACCCTACCATATGGTGAGATTGCACAGGAATGACGCATGGCTTCTAGGGAAAGAAAGACACTTGTTTCATGAAGAAGGTGGCCATTTATCTCATATTTAGGAAAATTCAGTGTCAAGTAGAGACATGCTCTGCCTCTGACTGAACAGCCAGACATACTGGGGTGGAATCTCACCAATGCGACATCAGCCCTTGTCCTCGTGCCTCGGGTGCTTCATTTAAATGGCATCAAATTGCTTCATTGCCACCCTATAAAAAGTCTCACCAGATGCCAGTTCCCAGAGCCTTGACTTCTAGTGTTGCTACTGCCAGAAAGAAAGGTAAGTCTTGTTCCCTGAGAGAGGGACTTGGCAAGAAATAGAATCAAGGTGGAGTTGCAGTGGAGTGCTGTGGGATAAAGAATGAGCCAGGACTAGACACTGAGGACACCTATGAAGAAGCGGGATGCCATTAATGGTGGGAAGCTAACTCAGGCTGGAGAGGGGAGCGCCAGTTCTACATGGGCAGAGATTTCAGAGAACTGGGTTCCTCTGCGGTTGTTTGTGCCTTCTCTTCTCAGTTCCTGTTACTAATGAAATGAACCTATATGCAAGTGCTCCAATGCAGGTGCTAGACACTAAATATTGAGTCTGAGTTTTGCTCTGCCAGGTTCAGTTTAAGAGTCAGATTAGCCCAGGCACAAATACCTATTCCCTCCTTGAGGACTTCCTGGATCAGAAGGGATAAGGAGGGTATGAACAGAAGTAGTGACTGAGGGTAAACAGGATGAAGAGTTATGCAAGACTAATCCACAACGCAGACACGGAAGAAAAGAGAGGAAACGTGGAGAGTTTGAAAGAAATGGGGTTGCTGTTTTAAGCCCTCTAGTTCCTAGTGTACAGCAGCCTCGGGGGTGAATGGTGATTAGTTTGAAATCACACAGTCAGTTAAAGGTGAAAGAAGTGAGCCTAGAATCCTTGATGCTGCACCAAACTTACTGATGGACGGACAGGCTCTGGGTGCTAACACCTCAAAGAGACCTTTTTCAGATCATCCTCCCGGGAGGATGCCCTGAGCAATTTTCTGGAAATCTTTCTGCTCTTGCGGTTTTGATGAATCTTTTCTTTTCAGAATTTTCAAAACTGCAGCAGGATGTGTGACCAGCAGAAGCAGCCGCAGTTCCTTCCATCTTGTGTGAAGGGTTCGGGACTTGGAGCCGGGCAAGGTGGCAGCGGTGCCTTTGGGAAAGGCCAGGTTTCAGGATCCGTTTCAGGCCAGGCTTCAGGCTCTGGTTCAGGTCTGGCTTCAGGCCAGGCTTCAGGCCAAGTTTTAGGCCAGGTCCAAACTGTTTATGCTCCGGGACCTGCTTTTTGTCAGCCTCAAACCATCGTGAGATACTCAGCTCCGGTTCCCACTCAAACTTACGTGAAATATCAAGTTCCATGCCAGACCAGAACCTACGTGAAGTGCCCAGCTCCCTGCCAGACATACGTGAAATGCCCACCTCCCTGCCAGACATACGTGAAGTGCCCAGCCCCATGCCAGACAACCTATGTGAAGTGCCCAGCCCCATGCCAAACGACCTGTGTCAAATGCCCAGCTCCCTGCCAGACTCAGACGTATTATGTCCAGTATCCAGCGCCTAGCCAGACCTACTACGCTCAGGCTTCTTCTGGTGGCTCAGGTTCTCAGGGTGGTGCCCCTGACCCATGCTCTGCTCCCTGTTCCATGAGCTACTGCTGTTTGGCTCCCAGGACCTTTGGGGTGAGTCCTCTGAGACGCTGGGTCCAGCGGCCCCAAGGATGGAACACCGGATCTTCCAGCTGCTGTGAGGATTCTGGGTGCTGCAGCTCTGGAGGCTGTGGAGGCTGCAGCTCTGGAGGCTGTGGAGGCTGCAGCTCTGGAGGCTGCAGAGGCTGCGGCTCTGGAGGCTGCGGAGGTTGCGGCTGTGGCTCTGGATGCTGCTGTTTGGGAATTATTCCCATGAGGTCCCGAGGTCCTGCATGCTGTGACAGTGGGGATGATTGCTGCTGTTAAGTACAAAGGGACAGCTCTGCTTCCAAAATTCACCTCCTGCTATGTTTTCTGAACCCACCTATCCTCAGCCTCCATCAGCTCCCTTGGCCCTCCATACTTGACCCCTTTATCAAGGCATCCTGCCAGAGTTAGCATAACCCCCAAACTCTGGCATGAATAAAGCTCCGAATGCAAGCACTTTGGCTCCTGTTGACTTCTTTGCTCGGTGTTCATGTTTCCCAGTGCAGACCCTCGTGTTCCTCCTCTGGCCCTTGGTTTTCAGCTACTCGATGAAAGCTCCTAAAGGACAGCCCAAGTAGATCAAGCTGGCGAACTCCCTGTCCGGGGTACACACACATTCTAGAACGCTGTGAATAGTTTCAATATAGTTAAGGAGGGGGTCTGTAGACTCTGAGTTTGAGGTCTGCTTCTTTCTTTTTCTGACTAATCTGCAGGCGTTGGGTCACATGTCCTCAAGGGGGCGTGAATTTGGTTATTGTTATTATGCAATCTTTGAGTTTCTCTTCCGGATGCTGGAGAGCTGTTAGAATCAGATCTCAGGAGCATCATAAGATGGTACTGCTACCGTGAAAGTGGTTTGATACTGGCCGGCTTTGTGTAGTAAGATTTTTTTCATTTATTAGTCATTTCTTCTTTAGGATATGGGATATAGGCCTGAGGCAAGGACTCTGCTGAACACAGACAGTGTTCAGGTCAGCCCTGACAGCAAGAAAGATCTCCAAGGTTGAGGGGTAAAGGGGACAATCTTGCATTTGCTGTTGGGAGTACAAGCTGGCACAGCCCCTTTTGATATCAGTATGGCAATTTCTCAGAAAATTAGGAAACAACCTTCCTTAAGACGCAGCAATACCACTTCTGGGTATATATCCAAAGGATGCTCACAAGGTCATGTGCTCAACTATGTTCATAGAAGCATTGTTTGTCATAGCCAGAATCTGGAAACAATCTAAATGCCTCTTGACTGAAGAATGAATAAGGAAAATGTGGTATATTTACACAATGCAGTACTACACAGCAAAAAAAAAAAAAAAATGACATCTTGAAATTTGCAGACAAATGGATGGAGCTAGAAAACATCATATTGAGTGAAGTAACCCAGACTCAGAAAGACAATTATCATATGTACTCACTAATAAGTGGTTTTTAAACATAAAGCAAAGAAGACCACAATCCCAGAGAACCCAGACAACAATGAGGACCCTAAGAGGGACATACATAGATCTAATCTAATCTACATGGGAAGTAGAAAAAAAAGAAGATCTCCTTAGTAAATTGGGAGCATGGGGACCTTTACCTTGGGGGAGGGTTGAAGGGGAGGGGAGAGACAGGGAAGGGAGCAGAGAAAAATGTAGAACTCAATAAAATCAACAAAAAAGAGAAAGATCTCCAAGAGGAAGGAGAACTTTGTGTGACAGGCATCCTAGCTCTGAGGCCGGGTTCCCATTATCCTTAGCACTCAGTTGTGGATGATTGGGAAAGACTTTTATGTCCAGCGACTCTAAAATGCATGCGTGAAAAATACACAAGTGATGGTGGCTCCCAGAGATAGCTCAGTTGGTAAAATGTGTCTTACGCAAGAGGATCGTATCCCCAGACTCCACATAAAAACAGTGTGGTGTGCTGGTATGAATGCTGCATGGTAATCCAGTAATGGGGAGGTCAGCCAGCTTAGTCTACCCAGGGAGTCCCAGGTCAGGAGGTGAGAGACCCTTTCTAGAAACAGCAACAACAAACCAACGAGCCCAAGAAACAGACAAACAATAGCAAGAACCAAGGTTGATGGCACCCCAAGGGACATATGAGACTGAATTCTGGCTTCCAAAGCTCTCCACAAGAAAACTTGTTCACCTGTGCGCACACACTGACAAGCACATACAAGAGTAACTTCTATTCATAAGAACCACACAGACCTGGCATAAAGGAGACAATATATTTGGTGAATGCATAAATAAATGGCAGAGAGAGAGAGAGAGAGAGAGAGAGAGAGGAGAGAGAGAGAGATAATGGTATATAATTAGGAAGTTTTTAGGTATCTTCAGTGTCCTGTTGTTTTTAAAAGCTTAATGACCCGAAGCTCCTTAAACCATATGGCATCTCTCCATACAGCCCCTTTAAGCTTGTGTCCCAGTCATAGGCTGCCCTCCTCAGAGTCAGGAATAGACTGGCCCAGGACCTTGTGTTCTTCGTGCACCGTCAAGTGGTACCTGCAACCCAGGAAGACAGAATGCTGCTTACTCTACAATGTGACACTTTTCTGTATTGGTGGAATAACAGCTATGTAGCTAGCACCAGCAATACTTTTAATAGTTTCCTTTTTCTTAATATTTTTTAATTTAAATGTATGTATGTGTGCCTGGGTGAGTTTAAGCACATGTATGTGTAGTGCCCAGAGAAGCCAAAAGGGAATTGGGTCTCCTGGAACTGGAAGTACAAGTAGCTGTGAGCTGCCATGTGGGTACACGAAATTGAATCCAGGTCCTCTGCAAGAGCAGTAAATACTCTTAAATATTGAGTCATCTTTCAAATAACCCTTTTCCTTCTCTTATACTAGGTAATGATAGACTTGCTGCATTAAAAAGTATCTCTGGAACTGGAATTACAGACAGTTGTGAACTGCTATTATATGGGTGCTGAGAACCAAATCTTGGTCCTCTACAAGAACAACAAGTGCTTTTAACCACTGAGCTATGTCTCTGCCACTCTCTTTTCTGGTGTTTGGCTTTGTACACACTTACATTACTATCTATCAGTCTGTCCACTTATGTATCCATCCATCATACGTTACAGGCTAGAATCTACAGATGAGAATATTTCTGAATTTGACTCACCTCACTTAATATCATACTTTCCAGATCTATCCATTTTCCCTTCAAATTCTGTGGGTGTAGTGTCTGAATATATCAAATGCTAAATGTTACTTAGGACAGTGCATCTAATTGTATCTTGTTACTTCTAATATTGCATTGTGCACCCAGTTGAGTTATCTAACTAGGTCTTAGCTATTGGCCTTTTTGTCAAAACAAGTTTTCCATATGCAGCCCTGGCATGCTTGGACCATGTATATAGGCCAGGTTCGCCTTGAACATAAGGTGACCGGCATTCTTCAAGCCCCTGTTTCTTGAGTCCTGACATCAAATGGGGCAGGACCATATATGGGTTCCTATATCCCACTTTAAGGTCTCTTCCTCCTCCTTCGTTAAAACCTCAAAGATGTTCTCAAATTTTACATTGAAATATAACACATTCAGAAAATTGCATGAATTACATGTGTTATCCTCAATCTATGAAAGTTTTTTTTTTCACTTTGAAAGTAAAGTCCCTGACCCCCATGAAGACACAGATAAAACAGAACATCAATACTTTCTACAGCCAACATCTTCAGGAAAGCCCTGCTATGTGTTAGATGGACACCTAGAAAAGAAATGCGGAGTGTTCAGCCTTCCAAGGCACCTGAAGTTCCTCCCAGTGGACCCAACACTGGATGTCAGAGATCCCTGTTTTATGCAGACTTCAGAAAACCAAACATCCAGAAGCCAGAGCTTGGCTGCTCTCAGGAACATGGCCATTCTGTAAATACTATAGGCAGCACACATGCCATATTCCTAAGGATTTGTTAATAAATAGATATTGAAATCTATTTTGATGCAGGTAATATTTTAGAGTTTACAGGATAGAACATGAACAATTCAATATCCTAAAAAAGGGATGGGATTATCGATCTACGATGATCACTATGAAGGAGGGCACCAAGTGCTGTGTAATTGATCCTGGTTGGGAGGACAGAATGAGATGTCTCAGAGAAAGTGTAGCTTTTCCAGGTGGGACAGGACTCTTAGCTGGGAGGGAAGCTCCTCCCTGCAGAGGTGGGGCGTACATGGGGTCCTGTGCTAGGGGCCTCAATACATTCAAGGGTTTGACTGACAGAAGAGGAGGTATGTGGTCAGCAGGGGAGGCCATATAGCACCGGTAAGAGTGGCTGGAGTCACCAGAGGAATCTAAGCTCTGAGGATGCAAGGACACAGGTGACAACATTTGATGCTTTAACTTTATTTCTCTATACTGAAAAAACTCATATTTTAGTACAAATAAACATATCATAAAGCAATTGCACAATAACATTTGTTTATCTTATTTTGTATTAATCCCAAATGTAACTATTGTTGTGTCTAGTTGGCACAACTTTAAAGTGACAGGTTGGGGTAAGGGCCAATATTAGGTGACACTACGTTCTGGTATGAGGACCTCTTTAGTACATGGCCATAACACTTCTGTTTCTAAAACGGATGGAATAGAAGTGTGGCCTTCTAAGTATTTGGTTTGCAGGAATCTTTAGGTTAATCAAAATGCTAACCTGCATTTTATAACTTAAACCATCATACGCCACTTCTTATGTAAAATGACCCCGATTTCCTGACTCCTATTCCTGCCACGACATATCCTGGGAACTTAACAAAGAGGATTCCCCAAACCCCGACCTTAGCACCAAATCCCTGTGAGGGGAAAGTGTCTCCTTGGACAGGCCATGCTGCTGTGTGTGGAACCTAGCATGAGTTACTTCACCACAGATTTCTGGAGTAGGAAAGTCATCTGAGCAGACTACCAACTCCCCTGCCTGGAGCAGGATAGTTTTTATACCCCCACCCCAGGATGATGGTTCCATAAAACCCCTAACATGTACAGCTAATGTAGATAGATTCAACGTTCCCCAATCCAGTAAAAACATAAATATGTATTTCTGAGTCTTACACACATACAAATCTATGCTCAATATTTAATGAATCCGTAAGAAAAATCTCTCATATCTGCTTATTCTTATCACCTAGGGGGAAAAAGTAGAAAATAATGACCATCAACACACAGTTGAAGGTCTTCTATATGCCAGTCATTATGCTGGTCACTATGTATGTGGTATACTCTTTCAGAGCACTGGGACAGTTGGTCTGAAGTGACTAGGAGTATGAAGTGAGCAGTAGATGGCTCTATGGTAAGAGCTAGATCTG